AATATACAAACTTCTGAAAATATGACTAAAAATGTATACTGTGCAAAAAAAGGTGTGGATGGAAGGGAAGTTTTAGAAGTGAGCAGTCTATGTGCTAAGTCCTATGTGGTAATTGGATAGGGTAGATACTCTCTGTAGTAAGGCCCTGATGTAGCAAAATGCTGAAGAGGGTTCTTAACTGCAAATAAATGGGTAAACTCATTCTCTTTAGTGGAACTACTGATGTGAAAGGTTAAGCATGTGATTAAGTGCTTTGTAAATGGTCCATTGTTTCGAAGTATTGATCGATTTCATCTTATTTTAAAGCTTGAAGGAGACATAAAATAACTTTTAGTTTATAACTAAATCTATATGTTGTTTTTTTATTTTGTTTGATTATTTATCTACCCTGGATTAATGGAGTACCTCCAAGGAAAAATAAAAGAAAATCCTGTACTGCTTTATGCTTAATAGAGTCAATCAATGACATACTGTATGCATCTACACATGCAAAAATGTGACTGAATATACTCTGGCTCAGTCTGAGCTGGAGTAAACTAATCCCAAACATCACCATCTACATGTACATTTATGTGTAGTAATATACTGCACTGCCAGATACCACTTGTAGCTGATGGGACTATCTGGCAACACAGTATCTATTGCATCCTAATTGCCGTGCACCTGTAGATTGTGATGCTTTACTGTGTAACAAATTAGCCTGCTGTGCAGTAAAGCGTTTTGTGTAGAGGTGCACACTGTAGCTGAATCAAAAGTGTGAAGATCAAGGTTTTTACTTAGTTAACAGATTTCAGTTCAACTAAAGCATCAAATTAAACTAAAGAAAAATCTCAGGTTTGTACTCTTAAAATGTTGTTTGTTAGTTAAAAATCTCATATATGCTCTACTTCTACTACAGTGATTCTCTAAGGACTTGCTTGCAATTTCTTTATTCTCATGAGAAGAGAAGAGCAAATTGTCTTTATGTGGCTGGTTGTTCCTTTACCACCTAGATATCCCTTCTTGCAGAAAACAAATTCAGCAGCCCTACCTATGAAAAGGACTGGATGGGGGAGAGTCAAGATTCAGCAATTTTCCATTCTTAGCAGCACAAAAGATATGGAAGAAGAAAGGCTGCCCATTGATTTTCATATTTTTTTAGTTTAATTAGATTTGGGAGGTTACAGTGTTGGCAGACTGAGATTTGTTCTTCAGTTCATGCTGGTGGTTAACCAAATATTAAATCATGGATGACTGACAAAGGATGATGTCTCCAATTTTGTCTGTATCACTGAAATCTGACTGGATGATACCACTGGGCTGTTTTTTTACACAGTTGAGCCATGTTTAAGAGACTTTGTGAGCCAAAAGAAGAGGAGTGAAGGTGTGCTGTTTGCATCTTGACTGAATAGCATAGAGCCTTCAATACCAAAAGTGAATCATATAGATCACAGGGTGGTCTTTTCTGACAGTGGGCCAAAATGTCTCACCTCAGGCTGAAGGCAGGCCAGTGCTAGGATCTAACTTATGCTATCACTGCTGCTTCTCTTTTCCACCCAGCTGAAGCATTGCATGGGAAAGCTCTGTCACATGGCTGCCCAACTGCAGCATGATAAAAGACCCATCAACAAAGCCCCACTTCCATGCACCACATCCAGTGGCTCCACAGGCTCTAGGTTGATAACCTGTGATATAGAGCACTGGAAATTTTGGCTTCACAGAAGGAATCAGGGAAATTCCTGTTTACTTCAGTGGAGTCAGGAATTCATTATGGATGCATGTTCTGGCATGGAACTCAAATGGGTCTACTTTCAGACTATGGCTAAACCACAAATCTACCATGCTGGTTAGCAGCACCATCAAATATACTGTGCTGTTCAGTATATAATGCCCTGTAGCGTAGCCACAACCATACTATTCTGATAGCAGGCTACTTGGCACTGTCATTCATCAGTGCTAATTAGCCTTCCCTGGCACTGTATAGATGAAGCTGGTCAGCTTCCTATCAGGGGTTAACATATGTGATACAGCATGGTGTATGTGGGCATGCCACTGCTAGAAACAGTAATGTGTGTGCAGATCAGACATAGCCTCAGTGCACTGATTGAGCTGTTGTGCTGAAAGTTCCTGCAGGAGCTCAGGAAATTCCTTATCATAGTCATGATGGAGATACTGAAGATCATAATGCTTTGGGACATTTAATGAGGATATCTTTTCCTGATCATGAGACTATGGCTAATAGTAGTTAGTACAGTCTTGCATCTAGTCATTGCAGTGGTGTTAGAGGCTTGTCAGTTGAAAATTTTGCTCATGTTAAGGTCTGACCAAATCCATCTGGTTTACAGATAACCTGTGACAACTGAAGCAGAAGGAAAATGGCTGGAGCCCCAATGATGGGGAAGTTTATTGTCCTGTACTGAAAAATCTGATTTGCATCCCCACTATTGGGAGGACAAGTGGTATTTTTATTGTTTAATTAGTTAAAGGTTGTGAAGTTGCTACCAAGCTCAACTATAGTCACGGTCTTTCTGGAATGAGGGCTGTAATATGGTAAGGGTGAGTGACTTTTGAGGACAGGGTATTTTGCATTTGTTGTGTGACTGGTTGATTCTAGCTGGGAAGTAAGTGGTAAGGCTAGACTGCTGGATTTGAGGATATTAAAAGAGAATATATTTTTCCTATTTGTCAGAAGTTGATAGTTTGGTATTTTACCTTTTTTTAAGTTGAAATTAATTGGCAATAAGAAACCACTGAAATAAGGGATGTCAAACTCATCCAGCACCATAGATCCAGAGCAAGGAGCAGTGTCATCTGGCCTGCAAAGTTGCTTATGAGGCTGAACATTTGTCAGTGCGGTGAGCAGTGGCTGCCATGGCTCAAGGAGCCATGACATTGAATGCTGCTGCTGCTCACCCTAATACCAAATTCCTACCCTCCACAAGCTAGATGACATAGTTCCATGGGCTGGAACTGGCCTTTGACACCCTTGACTTAAATAAATCACTGGTCACTGCTGATTTCTCCACCCCTGCCATACTGTCTCTTTCAGGGGCTGTATTACTTTCCACTGGCTCCCAGGTGATCAGAATTCTTTTGTGGGGCAGATCCTAGACCTCACCCACTCAGGCCTTTGGCAGGTTGCTATTATGTAAAGTACCAGCTGTCTCACTGTAGTAACTCTCTTCGCTCTTCATCAGTGTTTTTCAACCTCTTATCATTTGTGGACCTCAAAAAACTTTTGAATGGAGGTGCAGACCCCTTTGGAAATTTTGAGTGAAGGTGCAGAGCCTTTGAATTGTAAGTGTGGGTATTTACATACTTTTGATTGATCATAGTCATCTTTCATGGACCCCTTAGACATAGTTTGAGGACCCCTAGTGGTCTGCAGACAGCAGCTTGAAAACCACTGCTCTTCATCATTAAAAGTTGTTTCCTGCTGTAACAGTGACAGCCTACCTTAGAAGAATGAAGAAGAAAACTGCCTTTGATAATAATGGGGTCCTCACTCTGTAGCAAAAAAAATAAAGCTAGAGCAAATATGAGATAGTTTGAAAGTATAATATTTTTCTGTTAAAAAAAAAAAGACCAAGGCAGATATCTCTTCAATCTGAGACTTATATTTCAAAAAGGCAACAGAGCATATGGCACACTTTAAAATAGGACTGGATAATAGGGATAACATTTGTTGGAAGCTAAAATGCTAAAATAATAAAAGCCTGATCAAATTTCAAGCTTCATGGCAAAAGAAAATTGAAGAGGTTAGGAAAAAATATTTCCATTGTCGTCAGACAATTGACTTGCTGCAGGACACCAGAGAGGAGGAGGTATTCATCGCCTTCAGAAGCATGAGTGGCAGCTAATTATGGAGAATGGGTATTGGACAACATGGGCCAATTATCTGATTCAGTATGGTAACTCATGTGTTTCTAATTGCTGTGTTAAGGACTATTTCCTTGACCATTGTAATTTTATGTTCTACAATACTGCTTCATGTATTAATTACTCCAGTGTATCACTTTTCACAGATGCATTTATGATCAGTAACTTTTTGGTACTCCACTTTAAAATATGCTATGTCCAATAGTCACTTCTCAGTTGTTAGTGGTTCTTAGAATTGTCAACAGACAGAAGTTTAGAGACTGTATTCGGTATATCATCATACCTATGTACAGTATATCATCATGCCTCCAAAAAGGTTTTGCTCTGCTCTTGACATGCAGCTGTGCTTTTCTTTATGTTGAAAGGTCCAATTTACAAACTGCCTACCTAACATGTACATGCAAGAGAGGCATTTAAGTTTGCAAAATGGGTCAATCATGCACCTATATACATGTGCAAATAGATTTGAAAATGTAACCACTTGCCTATATCTTTGTCTATAAAGTGTTGCAGAAGAGTGTAATGCACCAGCACATTCCTAGACAACCATACAGTCACAGCAACAACATTTGGATCATGCAAACCTCTTTCGAACACGCTGCAATGCTGTAGCACTTCATACATAATGCAATTGCATCATGCTGGCATATATAGGAGGTCTTGTGGCATGATCTGATCAATGTCCTGTTTTGCTCTATACTTCCTGATGCCTTATTGCTGTCTTGAGACTTCATTTTGTTTCACATATTAGCGTGTTTCATTTTAATCAGCTATTGTGGTGGCATCACATTGTTTGTACTACTACTTCATTCTCACATACTGGAGTTGGTTTTGTGGTTGGTATGGTGAGAATAGCCTCATGGAATGATGATGGCATGTGTCTGTTTCAAGGAGTTCAGCCGTGGTGTCTGTCAGTGGTTGTGTGCTGCATAGCATTTGATGGCTTTTGCTCTCTTTTGTCTCAAATGCATTGAGGAAAGCCCTGTCTGTGCTGTGTTATGCCTGCCTTTTCTGGAGGAAAGTTGGTTTGGATGGGGAAAAAGATTAGGTAGCTTCATTCTTTGTAAAGCTTACTCCACTTCTCAAGTTCCCCCTTGCTGGATATTCTGCTGCACTCTTGCAATCTCCTTCAATTTGTTCAGTTTCTTCAGAAGGAAGAAAGGATTTGCAAGGTAACCGGTTGGAAACACAAATACCAATTGATCCAGATGCGCAGAAGAGAGATGCGGACTTTTCAGAAATTCTTAATGCAATACAAGAAAGTAAGTTATACTTGGATCTAAAATCAGATACATTGCAGAACAGCTCATTGAGATCAGTCAATATGATATGTAATAGTTGGATAAACTAAAGAACTAAATAGTAACTGCATGAATTTGAACCTAATGGTTCAGTGGGTAATTAAATTTCATCAGGAAAACATTAACAGAGGAGCCATAATAAGATCTGAATTATTATTTCCCTGAATGTTCTACTGTCATAGACATCTGAAACAAAATTTGCTGGAAATATTTAGGAGTTAAAAAAATTATCCATTCTTGACACTGCTGGCCGAAAAGGAAGAAATGTCAATACCCTGTGCCCTACCATAATCTGGGATCTGTGTCTGGGCTTGCATTTCAAGCGGTTCCAAAGTCTCAGAGACATTCATGCCCATTGATGGCTATTTATGTTAATTTAGATTGAATGATTAATGGCCATCTAGCTATAAAAAAATAAAATAAAATAAAATAGCCAACCAGTTCCAAAGTTAGTGTTAAAAAGGTATAACAACTCTGGCTTGGGGTAAGGTGAGGCTCCCCTGTCCTTAATGCTTCTAGGTAGGGAGAGAGAA